TCACCGGTTTGAATAATAATGACTACCAAATTGCTCGGGCCAAGTATTACGCGGCAAAAGCCGGTTTGGAGGGTAAAACGGATTTTATCAAGGGCAGTTTTCTGGAAATTCCCTTTGAAGAAAACTCTTTCGACCGTGTCTACGCGATTGAAGCCACTTGCCATTCCCCAAAGTTGGAGAGTGTTTATAAAGAGGCTTTTCGTGTTCTGAAGCCTGGAGGTCTTTTCGCGTTTTACGAGTGGTGTACGACAGACAGATATGATCCTACGAACCCTGAGCATGCGAAAATCATTCGCGGCATTGAGGTATGAACTTATTCTTTATTTGTGTTGAATGTATTCATGAATGCTAAATTTGATTGTGTGAACAGATTGGCGATGGTATATCGCAATTGTACTCAACACGGGAAGCTCTTCAAGCGCTCAAGAATGTTGGGTTTGAACTTGAATACGAAGATGATCTCGCCGAAATTAACGATGTTGTGCCTTGGTATTATCCTCTGACTGGGGACTTCAGAAAATCGCAATCTATTTGGGATTTCTTCACATTTTTCCGACTGACTGTAGTTGGCAAGATGCTAACTAGAGCTTTGGTAGGTATCCAACGATCAATCGTTACTATCTAGTCCTACACAGTTACTAAGCAATATTAACCATCTGTAAATAGGTCGGTGGACTCGAGAAAGTTGGTGCTGCACCAACTGGTTCCGTAGAAGTTCAAAAATTACTTGAACTTGCAGGAGATAGTCTTGCTAAAGGTGGCGAGACGAAGATCTTTACACCAATGTATTTGTTAGTGGGACGCAAACCTTTGAAGTCTTAAAAAAGAACTCACTTAATTGATAAATTAATTTAATGTTATTGCTTGTTAATAAGAATAATAAGATGTAAGGTCAAATAAAGATTTAAGATCGACTGTGAGTGACAAGCAGCCGTTTTAGAATCGGCAGACTGGTTTGTCAAAGATGAATGAAATACAAAGGATAAGTTGAATGACTTTCTGAACGACACCAGACAATCTCAGACCCGATTACATAAATTAAGCCAAAAAGAAAAGATCTAAAAATTCTACTTCAGATGTATAGTGGGGGAAAAGACCATGCTTGATGTCGAATGATGCAAACGAGGCGTCTGAGACTTTGTCTATTGGATAGATCGGAATTGGGTGCTGGTCGTGTAAGTAACAATTCCTCCATATTTGTCTAAATTTTTTGCATGTGGGCTACACGTGTGATGGTTGATAATCTGCAAGTACATTTGAGTGATTGGTTGATTATTCTGATTTATACTATTGGTGAATGAGTGTCGTATTATGTTACTCGACATAATCGCAGCCATATTCATTAATATGGTATTATCGATAGTGTGAGACTTTATTTCCAAGCCACACATACTAATACTAATACGTGCTACAACTAGTTTTAACATCAGCTACCTAATATTACATAGAGAGGTGAAATAAAGAATAAAAGTTAGGCGAGATGGGAGAGGAAAAGATAATTTACATGCATGTTGAAAGATGAGGAATTCAAAGGGATTATCATCAAGAAATCCAAACCGAAAGTTATTCAACAGACATCAGCGTTCTACTAGGTATGCTTGAAACAATCGACATATTATCTTGCATTTCGCTTCCCGTAACGCATCGGCACTATTCCGTCTATTATACCCTGATCTTGATCTTTGTCAAGGATCAAACCCTTCTCTTGTAGCTCTATTTCATCATTCATCCATTTTACACACATTCTGATAACAGCTCTAGTTGTTTCATCGTGTGGTATGTATTTTTGTTGAGCATTACTCGATTCGTCCATCGTGCTTCCTCTCAATGACGAAGTAGTCGGACATCCATTTTGCCGAAGCTTCTTTGATGATGTTCTTGAAGTTCGGTTTTTTGTTCGTGGTAGTATAGTTGGTGCTTATAGGCGGCGGTGGGGAAGAATGAGAAGATCTTTCCCGCGTAGCTCCCGAACACAGACTCGCTGAGTGAAATCACCTCGCTGCTCTCGACTTCTGTATGCTTGCGAAAAGTCATCAAAGATCCACTTTGCGTCGTGAGAGAATGATGATATCTTTTATCCATGATTCAGACTTTCGTTTTTTAAGAGCCATAGAAGACTTTACAAACATCAATTCGTTCACCGCTCAAAACCAGAGTTGTCACACAGCGGACACAGACATTGGACGTGGACAGTCCAGAATAGTCCCATCTAAAGACAGGAATTATGCACAATGTATATGTTTGAATCAAGCGTGAATAGTAGTAATATATTGGCCAGAGTACACGAGCAGTAGAGAGTTATTATTATAGAATAGTAACAACTTTAGAAAAAAGTACTACATGTCGGATTGTCCTACACTCAAAAAGGAAACATTATCGCCGTGTAACAAACAATTCGTGAATGATGATCAAAGAGATCACGTTGGATAATGCGGAGTTGCACCGAAATTGTAATTATAATCGCTGATAATCTTCCTGCGTTTGTGCAAATCATATAGTAAGGGTGTGTTTCAATTCCCAAGCATATATGGAGTATTTCAGCAAAACTAAAGTCGCTGAGTATAACCAAGCTAATATTACAGACGCGAGTGGTACTGCCGTCCAGGCGATGGATGATACCGTTGCGAACCTGCTTTGGTAGGCGTTTACTTCGATAGTACATGAACATGAATTAAATAATCGCCACAAATTCCCAATAAAGTGACTTCGTACGCAACTTTGTTCTAATAATAGTAATAAGATAAAGAATACTTGCGTATAAATTATGGGCGCTACACAGACCGACAGGTTCCCACGTCCCGAAAACTACTTTTTCATGAAATCTGTTAATCATGACGGCAAGAAGCGCTCAGCAGTTAGCAGAGTATGGGCGGCGACATGTTACACATGGTATTTCTCGCATATCATCATTGGTGATAGAGAGGGCAAGTGGTAGTTGGGTTTACACAGTTGACGGGAAGAAATATTTGGACTTTACTACTGGCATTGGGGTTGTATCTACTGGTTAGTAGGAATCAGGTCATTATTTAATATACAACAAGACGTCCTATTCTTGCTGCAGGAAATTAATGGCCTATATTTATACTGATTGATAATGCAGGCCATTGCCACCCAAAAGTTGTCAAAGCAGTCCAGGAACAAGCGGCTAATCTACATCATGCTCAAGTAAATGCCTATCTAAATCTAACATTTATTCTTCGCTAATAATTGAGCGATTATCAATACGTTTTCGTTTGTTTGTAGGTTAATGTAGCATTTCACAAGCCGATGCTTGATCTCATTGGCAAACTGAAACCAATAATGCCATCCCCAGAACTTGATTCATTCTTCTTTGCTAACTCTGGTTCTGAAGCGGTTGAAGCGGCCATCAAAGTAGCACGATACGCGACGAAGAAACAAAACGTTATAGTGTTTCAAGGTTCATTTCACGGTAGAACAATTGGCGCAATGTCCCTCACAACATCAAAAACCATTTATAAAACTGGATTCGGTCCATTGATGGTGAGTTGTTTTAAGAGATTATCTTTTCTTTTGGTGATCATGGTAGATCATCACATAGTGACAAATGAACCTAATTTTAGTCAGGAGTGCACGTTGCGCCATTCCCCTACTGCCTCAAGTGCCCGGCACATTATGCAGCACCCGACGTTTATAGCATTGCCAATTGCTGCAATAATTCCATTGACCAAGTAGAACTCGTTCTCAAACAACAAACGGCACCACAAGACACTGCTGCTATTCTAATTGAGCCCGTACTCGGCGAAGGAGGATATGTTCCACCGCCTAATGATTTCTTCAAGAAGCTACGTGATCTGTGTGATCGCAATAACATTCTACTCATTGCGGACGAAGTACAGTCTGGATTCGGTAGAACAGGAAAGATGTTTGCAATTGAGCATTATGGAGTTGTACCTGATATTCAGGTTATGGCTAAGGGAATTGCTAGTGGATTTCCTTTGAGTGCTATTGTGTCTAAGAAGGAATTAATGGATCTGCAACTACCTGGAAGCATGGTAAAAATGGAGCGAGTGGCTGACTAAAGTTGTATTTGTAATTATGTACACGTATTGGAGACGTAACTTATGCTCGAGTTTAACAGGGTGGGACGTATACTGGTAATGCTGTGGCATGTGCTGCCGCCAAAGCGACAATAGAAGTATTCGAAGAAGAAAATATAATCGATAATGTCAATGAAAGGTGATGTATCACACAAGATACTAACACTGTGTGCGCATTTTATTTTGCTCTTTCTCATATCTCTTCTCAATATATAGATCGACTCAAATATTTTCGCTCTTGAAATCCAAACTCCCGTCATTGATACCGTCATCCATGTCGGTAGACATCCGCGGACTTGGGTTAATGATTGGGATAGAATTTATTAATGCTCCATCCGGATTTGTAAATGCCGTAATGAAAGAGGCTCTTGAGAAGCATCAATTGCTATTATTGACTACCAGCATATACGAGTGCATAAGATTAGTTCCTCCCCTAAATATCAGCGCCGAAGAGGCTGAAGATGGGGTTAACAGATTTTTAAAAGCAGTAGAGAGTGTAGCCGCCAACAAATCTAATTAATAGACGGTGTATTCTATCTACATGTACAAACATCGCATAGTATGATATACGGCAATAGAAAACGCCCCGAAATAAACGATGCCGATGCGATGCATTATAACGTTGATATAAATCCTTATTGGTTAAATTAGAGAAACGTTTCTCTTAACCTTCCAACGTCAAATCTATCTTGTCTCCTTTTCTTGCGAAAGAAACAATAACAAAATTATTAACTTTGTCTTAATCTTTTTTTTATATCAAGTTCTCTTTAATTACTACTAAATACAGTTGCTGACCAAATGATTTAATGGTCAATTATAATATCTATGCCTGATAGATAGCCAGACCTTTAATGTATACATCCACGCCCCACAAAAACCCCCACCTGTTTACAATCATTCGGCTGCATGATTATCCCCCGCCACTCTATCTTGACACTCAATTTACAATATATTATCGGGACTCCGCACAAGAATCCCTTTTTCTCTCAAATAATTCTTGACATCTGCCACAGGCACTTCTTTTCGATGGAATATTCCCGCGGCTAAAGCAGCATCTGCCTTAGTCTTCTCAAATACTTCACCGAAATGCTCGACCCTCCCTGCTCCACTTGATGCAATGACAGGAATATTAACGGCCTTTTTAACATCGTCGACAAGCTCAATATCATATCCAGAGTTAGTTCCATCCTTGTCCATGCAATTAAGCAAAATCTCCCCGGCACCCATTTTTTCGCATACAGTCACCAACTGGTGTACGTCAATGTCACGGCCTTCTCTACCTCCTTTAACAGTACACTGATACCAACAATATTCTTCTCCTTGTGGACCAGGATATATTGTCTTTATTATGTGATGAACAGTTTCGTTAGGAGAACTTACGTATACTCTACGCGGATCGACAGATATTACAACGGCTTGGTTACCATATGCTTTAGCAATGGTTTCGATTGCTGTATCTCCACTTAACTCATGACCGTTCTCGAGATATCTTTCTACAGCATATACGGCATCGCTACCAATAGACACCTTATCAGCACCGGATCTGAAATACAATCCAGCAACATCCAACGCCGAATGCAATTTTTCATCAGGATCGACAACATCTCGTATTCCACCTCCAATAGTCAAAGGTACAAACACAGTCTCGCTGGTACGTCGCAGTACCTCCAACATTGGTAAATCAGCCAGCGGACAGTTTCTGAAACTGGTTATGTTTAAAAACGTAATTTCGTCTGCGCCCTCTTCGAAATATCTGCGTGCGAGCTCAACTGGTTTGCCGAGATTTCTCACTTGCCCACCATTATCTCGTTCTCTGACATCATATTGATCACCCTTTGTCACAACTAGATCGCCCTGATCATTTGTGCGTACGTCTAAGCATGCGATTATACGTTTCGTCAAATAATCCGACGACACTTTAACAGGATCACAAAGTATAGTAGGCTGGTCGGACACTCCGTTCCATTCTAGGAAACTCCTGAGTATTCTCAGCCCAGCATATCCGCTTTTCTCTGGATGAAATTGGGTGCAGAATATATTATCTTTTTGGACGATACTTACAAATACTTCATCACCATATTGGGTAGTTGCTAGTGTCCATTTCGCGAGATCCTCTGTGTATGGTACTGCATAAGAATGAACGAAGTAATACACCCTGTCATCAGAAAGACTGAATGCGGATCCTTGTTTACGTTTTAGCGTTTTATTCCATCCCATATGAGGAACTGATTTTGTGGTATTATCAAAGAGCTTAACACGTCCATTGATTATGTTTAATCCATGGACGTCAGGTGATTCATCTGAGCTGGTAAAGAGAGTTTGTAATCCAATACATATTCCCATGAACGGTCTACCAGATGCAATGTATTTTTTCAGTGGATCAACATAGTTCTTTGATACGAGAGATGTCATTGCACTACCAAATGCGCCCACTCCAGGAAATATGAGTTTCTATGCGAGCAAGAATGCCAAATAAGCAGAGACCCAACATTATCCATCTTTGGAAACGGAGAAAGATACTGGAGGTAGAATTAGCACGTATTAGACATACCTTTGCTTTGAGAATATCATCAGGATGATTCACTGGTTGTACTTGATAACCCAATCTAGTGATAGCATTAACCAAACTGCGCACATTCCCTGCGCCATAATCCAGCAAGTATAGTTCACTCATATCTAATAGCTCAAATTTTTTAAAATTAAACGGTATTATTATTACATAAAGCGGGAAACCTAAACGGTTGCGTCGTGATTTAAATAACTCAAAAAAATTTTGATTATCGAGATCTGGTTAATAACGTGACTTCGTTAATTGTGTTCTCTAACCAAGATGGCTAAATCCAAATTCGAATACGTGAAGAAGTTCGAGTTGGATGATTCTCTATTACCTAACACCTGGTTGGTTGTTCGTATCGATGGGAGAGGCTTTCACAGGAAAGCATAAAATTAGTGACAAATGGAACGGCTTTTTGAAATATTTTAACGTTTCATCCTTGATTCTTTTAGATTCTCTAATGTTCATAATTTTAAAAAACCGAATGATAAGAATGCGTTGGATCTTATGAACAAATGTGCTGAATGTGTTATGGATAACATTTATGATGTGGTATTATCATATGGACAAAGCGATGAATACAGGTGCATAAGCAGACCATAACAATCTTGCCAAGAAACAAACGATTATACTGATTCTTGATTTTTCGAATAGTTTTGTGCTGAACAAAGCCAGTAATCTATATGATCGTCGCGAATCGTAGGTTATACATACAATTAGTTGAGCAATCGGTCAATATGGATAACAACATACTAACGCTGATTCCAGCAAAATAGTCTCGGCTATTGTCAGTCTATTCACATCCAACTATGTCTTTTACTGGAAGAACTTCTTTCCTGATCAAGAACTTCAATATCCTCCTTCATTCGACGGACGCATAGTACAATATCCATCAGATACCAATTTACGTGACTATTTGAGTTGGAGACAAGCTGACTGTATGTCATATATGACCGCCTGTCAAAGTTGCATTAACTACAGCTTGACGTATATCGATTAGACTAATTATTATTCTTCATATAAAGGTCATATTAATAATCTATATAATACATGCTATTGGGCTTTAGTTCATTCTGGAAAGACAGAGACTGAAGCAGAGCTTGCTCTCAGAGTAAGTAATCGCTAAGCAGCCGTATCAACTATTGGGATTTCTCTCACACAATCAGTTTCACTCTGACAGGGAACGGTTTCATCCCAGAAGAATGAAATGCTTTTTTCTCAATTCAATATCAACTATAGCAAACTACCAGAGATGTTTAGAAAAGGATCAGTCTTATTCAAAGAACAGGTAAATCCATACATTAAACTATGCATTAGTACTTTTAATTTACGATATTCTGACATCTTTACTCTAGGTGGATGTTCAAGGCATAAGCAGTGATGGCACAGAAATCAAACGACGTAAGAAAATAACAAAAACTTATTACATCGACATCATCAGCGATAAATTTTGGAAGGAGCATCTCGAATTTGACATTTCAATATAGAGCAAATTAAAATGTGAACTATTTATTACATGATTGGGTTACAAAATCAATGAGGACGGATAGAGACTTACCATCATGCATAACAAAGCCTTCTAGCACTTGCAAATGGTGTACATAAATGTACCCAAGTATTTCTGATGTGAAAAATTAACGCTGATTACGCGAGCAGGGAAATTTACGTGTAATCTATATGTTTATTGGTGTTATATTCACAAATGTGATCATTTCTGAAAAAAAAATATTATAAACCCTAAATCTAAAGTCCACCGATTTCCTTGCTATTATTAATGTTCGATCTGTCGCCGTTCAGAGTAAAGGCGGCAACATCGCTTCCTTTGCCAAGTAATTTCATCCAGTAAATTGTTAATGCGTCAGATAATTTCGCTCACAGACTTGTCCATTAAACGTCAGTTTTTTTCTATGCCATGAAGTCGATTTAGAAGGGAAACATTATCAACGGTCGCTGCTTTATTAAAAAGCACTACATACAATAAATGATTATAATAATGATGTCAGGAAATAAAAGGGTGACATCATCGTCAAGCAATAGCATAGATTCATTTGAATTTCGTCTATTACGAACTTCGACATACTAATACTTTGTTGTGCAATCGAGCTTCACAATGAGTGAACGTAAAGTGTTGAATAAGTATTTCCCTCCTGATTTTGACCCTGCTGGTAAGTCATTATTCTCGAAACTTATTTTTGATCCTTTGTATAATATTGTTAAACAAATTGACCTTTTAATTGTAGCAATACCAAGGAGAAGGCAGGCCAAAGATGCCCAGCACAAGGTTTAGAGATTAAAACTTATATTATATTCTTTTTACGTATACATATATATTGTTATTACAGCATTCTGAGTAAAACTTCTCGTTTCAATAGGTCCGTCTAATGACTCCATACGCAATGCGATGTGAGACCTGTGGAGAATACATATATAAAGGGAAAAAGTTTAATGCAAGAAAAGAAACGGTCGAAGGCGAAACATATCATTCCATCAAAATTTTTCGGTTTTATATCAAGTGTCCACGCTGTAGTGCAGAAATAACCTTCAAGACAGATCCAAAGAACACAGACTATGTCGCTGAACACGGGGCTTCCCGCAATTTCGAGCCGTGGCGTGAAGAACGTCTTGCCGGCGAAGAGGAAAAACTCCAAAAAGAGCTCGAGGAGGAGAACAATCCGATGAAAGCATTAGAAAATCGAACATTAGATAGTAAGAGGGAAATGGATATTCTTGATGCACTGGACGAAATCAGGACAAGAAACGCTCGTAATGAACGAATTGATGCCGATGCTATACTAGAACGTATGGTTGACGAAGATGAAAAAACCGCTAATGAGAGGGTGGTGGAGTTGGATAAAAAAGATGAGCAATTAGCAAAGGCAATATTTAAAACTGCTGATGATGAGGTATTCGAGAAGGTTATGAGAGTTGGTGATGTGGATGAGCAGCCAGAGATTAAGGACTTGTTGTCAGAATCGGCTAGGGAGACGGTCAAGGAGTTGGTGGGAAGTGTAGGGGGGATGAAGAGAAAGGATATTAATATTGGGAAGAGAGGGACTGATTTAGGGATTCTTGTTAAAAAGAGAAAGAAGGAGGACAATGGCAAAGCTGAAAATAAGAGTGTTACTGAGACTAGCGGACTACCGGTTTCATTGTTGGGTTTAAACAATTATGAATCGGAATCGGGAAGTGATGATGACGACGCAGTTGAACCATCTGATACAGGCTGATCTCCAACCTTGCTCTTTCCTACCTAGTATTATTCCTTTCGCAAAATCGATGTACAATGATACCAACGTATAATCTGTGGGATTTCCCATAATCTTTCTACTAATAAATAATAGTCCTCGATCCAGTGATTCCCTCTCTCTCGAGTTAATGCCATAAACGGGCGTAACTTTTATAACTTTTAGTTCGAGATGCTCTGTAATAAGCGATTTGAGATAGTCAGTAGCAGAGATATTTATGAAGCTCTTCAGAGATTATATTATATACATCAACGAATGGGTATAACGGCAGAATTGATCTTTAGTGACGAAATTTTGGGATAATATGACACTACGATAAAGAGTCGGATCTGTTGATTTACTACTTGATTTTATTGGCTCTCCAATTTTCAGGTATATTTGGGAAGTCTATATCAAGAAAAAACCATTATTCCAATCTTCATCAAAATCTAGAAGTTTGTTTGAACGCGTGCAATTGCTGCTTGTATTGCTTCATATTGCGTTGCGTATGATACCTTTACTTGAAGTGCACATCAACTAGCTGTGGCTATTGACCAGTTAGATATAGGATGGTTATTCCGAATTGAATGAAAAAAAATATAGTTGCAAACTGCGACTACAGTAGTGGCGGAAAATAATGAGAATTTTAAAGTTTTTATTACTCAACCAATTTGTATTCATTTTACATAAAATTTTATTATTATCTGCACATAATAATAATAATAAGTAATAATGTAAATTTACAAAATAAAAATTTAGTGGTCCAATCGTTAAGCCCCCCTTTCAATCTAAACGCTTTTTATCGATATTATCGTTATCCCATTCTAATCAAATAATCAGGAAAAAATCATCTAATCCAATTGATTTGTAAAATACGTTGATTTGCCCTCTTTTCTACCCTTTTTTTTCATTATCGCCCATAAGTTTTAAGTCAGGTGAGTAAGAGAGCCAATCAAGAACTTTTGGGCATTTTTCTTTAAGAAGTTCCTTTGTTAACTTGGCGGTATGCTTTGGGTCGTTATCTTGTTGGAAAATCCACCTTGAGCGGCTGTTTGACAATTACACGCCGTGGCTTTCTTAGCCCACTTTATGTCTTACTAAAGTGGTATTGCGAAATCAGAAAAGATAACTTTTTGTTAAGATGAGACTTTGCCCATTCAACGCGATAATTCTTTGCACTATTAAGTTTGGGTAGGATTGGTTAAGTACATGACCAATTTCTTTACTGCTAGCACATTTTCTTGAATTTGCTAAGTTTTTTGATATATTTGTATAAAGTAGATACATCATAAATTCCACTTTCCCGTAAATTCTCTATAATTGATCGTCTTTGGGTCAAAAATTATAAAAGTAAACAAAGAACGCGTTGTTATTATCCGGTGTAACTTTCTATATATAACTTCTCCATAATAAATAAAACAGGGAGCATGTAAATATTAAGGCAAGCACGATTTTTTCCGGAAACTACAATAGTTTCGAAGGAAACTCGGCTCCTCTCATTATTTTCCGCCACTACTGTACATGATAGTATAGTATTCCAATTATTATTATTCAGTACGCGTGAGATACAGGCGGAACTAAATGGTTTGACACGAGCGTTTCATGTTCGCACAACAAAAATATACCGAGACTGACAGGGAAAAGCTCGTAAAGAAGCATTCGGAATATTGCGCCAGAATTTAGAAAGCATTTGGCATCACGTTTGAAATGGAAGACACGCCATTGAAAGCTTACGTTAACTCACGAGACATGGTCGATCAGCGAGCGGAATCGTCTTTTCGTCGATTACGAACGGCTGACCAAACTCATCTGCAAGAAAAGGATCCATGATTTACAAAGATTATCAAATCCTCTGCTGCAAATGATATTCTCATTGCTGCTAAGAATGTCATAAAGACAATGGTTGATAATGATAGCCAACAGCAGGATTTTTCAAAAGTCTGCAGAATTAAATCAATATACAGTGTGTAAAGAAATTAATGGCAAAAAAATCGTGCAGACTTAAAATCGCGTAACTACTTCCAAAAATAAACCAACTCACTGCTGCTGTTGGCTACATTTAAATAAAACATAATACAATTGACTTACTCGAGTTACAGTGAAATCCCAGCAACATTCTTAGCTCCAAAATAAACCAAGTCAAGGTCAGCTTTATTGATATAAGATAATACTTATACTAAAGTTTGAATATTAATATATTAATTTGTATCAACATAATAATAATTTAAATTCTATTGTTTAATAAACTTGGAATAATACTATGCTTCCAACTTTCCATGTCCAAAATTAAGCCCTTCTTCACTAAAGTCTTGTCTCCAAATGATTTCTGAAACAAAAACTTTTTTAAGTACATGACAGTTAGCCTTACATGTGTAGACCAATAGACTACCCCAGTCAAGAGAATCAGTTCTTGTATTATCAATATTAAGATGGTTCAAGAGAGTAGACAGAATCTAACAAAAAAGATGTGTATATTAAAATTACCAAAAGGATTAATATAAAACAGTTTTACTATTACAACAGAATCTAATATACAAAATTATAATCATCACTAGATCAAACCTGAAATTCAAAAGTTCTTTGTTGTCCACAATGCTCACATGGTGGTAAATCATCAGCAGTTGGTTTTCCATAATCACTTATCCATAATGGATCAGTATTCTCATTATACTCTAATCTTGCATATCTATTCAAAGTACCAAAAGATTCTTAAAGTATGTGCATTGATGTCCATACCAATAGTATTATCTTGAGTACTCACCTTACAACTTGATCAGGTTGAAAAGATATTCTCTTCTGAAACTTAAGAAAAGCCTCATCCACATCAACATTGGAATTCTCATAAACTTCATCTCCAACTGGAACTAGTGCCTGTGAATTGTTTAATGCTATTTTATGAATGCATAATGAGTCACTATTACCACTTTGTTAACAGAGATTTTAAAACCTACAAGAACCCTCAGTCAAAGTATCCTGCTCTTTAGAATCTGGTAGAGTTTCTGACTCGGACACTATTTCATATTCAGGAAACAGTACAGCATTTCTGCATAACTTTATCCCTTTAGCAACTGCTTCAGCTGATAAATCAGTTGCTCCACAATGCAATTTATGTTGGCCAATTGTCCAATGGCTAGTTTGGTGCTCTCTTGAGCAATAATTTATGGCCTTGCACTTGCCACATGTTTTTGATCCATGTAGACCACAAACAACACATTGATGTGCTAATGTAGTAGCAAAAATGTCAGATCAAGTGATCCAATAATTAATAAAATATATATATAATCTTGAGTACCAGCATGATGAGTTGTTATGGGTTGGTTTGAATCATCCACCTTGGATGGATTCCAATATGGATTATCTTTGGGCAATTGACTTCTAAATATTTTTATACTAAATTATAAAGTTAGTATATTATGTCAATTTTGGTTGAAAGTTATAAATTACAGACCTCTTCTGCCAACTAGTCTTGTGACATGCTCCTATGCTGCATATAAATATATACACCATCCTGTGGAAAGCTTCAGGTGGCTCATCCTCAGGTGTATATAGCTGACAAATTGAACATATTACTTGTTAACAAAAGACTAGATCTATATTCACATCTTGGTTGTTTTCTTTTGAACTTGTTCTACCTGTAACAGTAGAATCATTGGCTTCTCACAGACACCACATCGGACTTTCTCAACTGGCAGAATAAACTCTGGATTGAGCCACGCCTGTGTTAGAGCAAGATCAAAAACAGTTATCAAGCATTCCAAGTTGAGTATACTAATATGCATTTTACACAAGGTGTTACAAAAAATTGTTTGTAGACGAATTGCGAGATAAAAAGTCTAAATAGACTTTATTGATTAAGCACATGAATATGTAAACTCCTTCCCGACATGCAGTCTCTTATCATATTAATAGATAATTCTCACATGTGCTTCAAACCATGACTATTGATAGTGCTTCTCAAAAATTTCTTTTAGAAGCTTGAGGATGTTCTTCAGGTTTCTGCTGCTGTCACGATGTCTTATTTGTAACACTAATAAGTCCCCTTTTGAAGAAATATTTACTGACGATGAACTCTTCACTTGCCGTTCTATCAGCATACCAACGAAATAGAAATTAATCTTTTTTGTAACACCTTGTATATTCCTTATCATACCGGAATTCCGCCGACTTTGCTTGGAAACTTGTCAGCCGTAAGAGGTCCTTCTGGTGTTTCAGCAAATCCTAGTTCTACTGACATAGTGGGCGTTTGCTCTGCTGTAGTGATTAGCACATAAATCGTAATGCGGTGGCTTGGCAGTCGTGTAGAAAATTTTCACCGAATTTTTGTCACGTGGATCAGAATGCAAATAGAACATACTAATACCGAGAAAACCGTATTTTGAGTTTATTGATCACCTCACGTATAGAAGGGCCGCGACGATTCGATTGACAGGAGTGCTGAGCATTTTAGCTTACCGGGTAGGTATTTGGCGACGACGAAGTTCAATGAAAGCTTCCAAGTATTAAACTTTAATCGTCAGCCAATGGATGAATTCTAGGACTAGAACACAGTTGACGATTTCGCATTGAGCTGGTAATTGCTATTACCATTGCCACGATTTTTTTCATCTGCCTATATCGTTTGTGACCGGGTGGTTTCGCACCGCCGGGTTTTAGGTTGCGTCTTGTATTTATCCTTGCACGCTAATCTCTTTCGAGTTTATTACAGGCTAGACCTCTGCGATGTAGACATTTTCTGGGAATCGCTTGAAGAAAGCAAGATACAATCAATCTGTATGACATTTACCATTAAAATGTCAAAGAAATTCAATGCTGCAGCTTTAATTTCAACCAAAATCTAGTCTTTTCCCAATGTTGGTCCAGGAGCGTTGGGGTCAACGCCATTTTGTCGATGGACTTTAACCATTGATCTTTGACTACAATTGGCTAATTCCAACACGAGCATGCTTGACAATTACGGACTGCTGCCGTAACCGATAAATCATCATGATTCTAAATGCCCGTTG